GTTTATAATCCTATACTTGCTTCGGAGATGATGGAACTTCTATAAGCTGAAGTAGCAGGTAATCAATCCGGAATTAGAGCCATAGCTTTTCTGCTCCTTTATGTTTATCTAATCTTATCTAAAAACAATCTTCATACCACTTCATGGTGGCCATTTTCACTTCAAATAAGGCTTTTCATGTATTTAACTCAATAGTACCTTATTTATCTCCCTGTATTTCTGCTCTTTTAAGTAGTGCATGGGACAAAGAAGTTATCGTAGTTTTGGTAATGTTCTGTCAAGAGGCTAGTTTGTTGAATTTGTTGAACTTTTTGGCAGAACACTATTTGGATACACTAATATTACTCCTTATATGTCTAGGAAAAACATGATAATTTCAGCTATTTTGGACCAAGAAGTTTCAATCTTTTCCATTAGCTTCATGTTACACTTTTTGACATGTATCATACCCCCGTCGTGAAGGTGGTTTCTTTTTTCATTCTTTTGTGTGTGCGTGTTGGGGGGGGTTGTAGTGGGTATTTTAGAGTTACTTGTGTCTTCATCTTCAGCACCAGATGGTATTCAACAATGGCGCGAGATTCTGATGGAAAAAAAACACAAAGAATGCTATAATTAGCGCTGCAAGACAAGATCTTATGTTGGACAGGTGATATTCTGTATTGAAACTAACAAAGATCAATCACAATGTCTGAAATTTTTGTGCTGTATTTAAATGATTAGAACACAAGTCTGTTCGTCTAGTTCTTGATTTGGTATAGGCTTGTGAACCTCAACGTAGCTTCCGGTCTGCTGTTTTCCCTCAAATGCACTATTTCTATAAATGTTACTCATTTAGGCATTCAAAATGAAATTATGAAATGTGAAATGCGTTTTATACATTTCTTTGGTTAGAACCAAATACTCTGGCAACTAAGAAGCCGATGGGGAGTCAAAAACCTGTTCTCTTAGCATGTACAAAACATTAATCGAAATACTTAGCAGCGGTACAATTGGAAGAAATTAATTGGCGCTATACTATCCCAATGAATTCTTAAACAGTTATGTGGTGTAGAAACTTATTTGTGCTTGGTTGGGGATGGATTAATAAATTGATACTTCTATAATTACTTCTAAAGTTATAAGAACCTACGCAAACAGTGATATGTATAAAGGGACTGTAGAGTCACATCCTTGAATTCTTTTACTGCAATCGCCATAAGAAATACAAGTAAAAATAAAAATAAAGGATGTAGGCAAACTGTAAAAATGTAAAATGATTGTATACATCTAACCTCTGTTGTTAGAAGAAGGGTAAAACGCCACCAATAACGTGAAGGAGGAGTTGGAAAGTGGGAATGAAACTCATAATGTTATTTTTTATTTTTATTTTTGGACCGCAAAACAATACATATGATTGTCTTTTTTTTTTTTTGGGTGCAAATACATATGATTGTCAAAAGAGTATGATATACACAGTTGCAAGTACCCTCTATGGATAAAAGTATATTCGTTATAAAAAGAGTTAAGACTTAAGAGAACCTTTTCGCTACAGCCAAATTTTTTAATAATCACCAAAAGCTCTTAGTTCCACTCATACAGTATGGCTAATGGCTACTAAACCAACATTTCCTATTTTAGGTGATCTCAAAAGCAAATGGCTCTTCCTAAATTTCTGATAAAGTGATAATGAAGGAGGAATTGGGACACCTTCAAATGTGACTTAGTGCTCCATTTGCTATCTCTTAAGACATGATTAGACACATAGTAATGATTAATGAGAGATGCTTCTCTCTTTAATCATCTTTGTTGATTGCATTGGAGTCATAAAACCCCATTTTAAACATACATTCTTTTACTATCTATTTTCTTTATTTCATCTTTCTTCCGTGCGGGAAAGCGGGTGTTTAATCATCATTGCTTTTGGATGCTTTTGTTAATGCTTAGATAACTAACAATAACAAGTGTTTATATATATTTCCCGAGCTAGCAAGCTATGTCCAGGACTCTGGAGTCTGACCTAGCGATAAGAACACAATGCGTAATGTATGGGTTAAATGTGCGCGATGAGTCAAAATCTGCCACAAACAATAGTCTAGTATTTAAATGGAGAAGGGTGAAAAAGCGAGCTAATTATCTACCGAGTTTCATACTATGCACTATTAGCCCTCAGGGATGCTTATGTTATAAAAGAGGCATTTGCATCTATACTCACTTTTTGTGCCACATTTTAACCTGTGCCCGCTTTGCAAAAAAAATTGCAAGCGTACCCGTTTTTTCACATAACTTCAGCACATGGGGCTGAAGTAGCAAAGGCAATTACACAAAACTTCAGTATTTTAGTAGCCGGGTCTGAAGTTCAGCTCTAGAGCTGAAGCTTTTTTTTTTAACTCGCGAACTTCAGCTCTAGAGCTGAAGTTTGCCAGTTATAAAATAAAAACTTCAGCTCTAGAGATGAAGTTTTATTTTATAAGTTTTTGTTTAGTAACCCGAAAACTTCAGCTCTAGAGCTGAAGTTTTCAAGTTATAAAATAAAAACTTTAGCTCTAGAGCTGAAGTTTGCCAGTTATAAAATAAAAACTTCAGCTCTAGAACTGAAATTTTTGTTTAGTAACCCGAAAATTTCAGCTCTAGAGCTGAAGTTTGCTAGTTATAAAATAAAAACTTCAGCTCTAGAGCTGAAGTTTCCCAGCTATAAAGGGAAGCTGAAGTTTTTAAAAAAGTGGGCACGGATGCAAACAAAAAGACAAAGCGGCTACAGGTTAAAAAGGGGCGCCCAAATAAGGCGCCCCGTGCAATTTTTACGTCGTAAAAAGATGCCAATGATTCCTACTAGTGGTTGCATTTTTCATTTTCACAGTTGCTGGAAAACCGAAAGAAAGGAAAACAAAACCACCTTGAATATCATAACTCATAAGAAATTCATTCCAACTTTACTTCACCATTTGGCTTAAAACTTTAAAAAAGTAAATGCCCTTTGATCATCTAGAGCTGCACGCCATAGATTACAACAGCTTTTTTGAACTTCAAAAATAATATTATAACTGTGAAACACACATTTATATAAGTGTATATGTATCATCTTCTGCTGTAGTTTTTATTGCAGCTCTGAGAATATATGCATGTAATGGAGGGTCCCTATTCTTTAATATTCATGATGAAGCCCGCCGTTCAAGAACTAATCTTTTTAACCCTTTATGTATAAAGAAGAAATAAGGGTAGAAAGACAAAGGGAAGCTGGAAATAAAGTTTGAAGTGAACTTTTAAACTGGGACCTGTCAATATCCAATGTTAGAATATAGTCTTCCACTTCATTCCTTCTTTTTGAATTTTTAAGATTTCAAGGGACTTTTGAATTTATTACTCATGAGTCACTGAGTCATACACTGTTATATATTGCACTGTTTCCTTCCTCTTTTTTCCATTGTGCTCCACCTTGCATACTATGTTAACTTACTTTGGTATCAACAGACAGATATAGGCAAAAGTAAGAGTTACTGAAGTTAAAAACATTCAAAAGTTTCAAGTAGAACAAAGTTTTAACTAGTTAGTAACTCACTGATCTTCTCCTTTTCAATGGTTATAATGGAGACAGTGAGCTCTTGTGGTGTTAAATGCAAGTCAAATAAGTTGGAAGGGATCAATGAAGACAGTGCAGCAAATTGGCAACCATTGGCATGTCCTCCGCCAGAAACTCCTACCGAGTCTATGGAGTTCCTTGCAAGATCATGGAGTTTGTCAGCTATGGAACTCTCTAAAGCACTTTCTCACACAAAACCAACAAGTTCTCTAGACGAGAAGATGTCAATCTCTTCGTTGCAAAGTCAACTTGGAAAAACTTCGATTATGAAGGAACCTGTAAGCCTCTCTTCGTTAAAGCTTGTGTTTTTGTTCATTTACTTCTGTATAGGGAATGAATCCAGTTATGGAAATGCTTTACTTTCATTTATTGCTTACAAGTTTCTCTTGTTGTCTTTATATTGCAGCAAGAACAACCACCATCTAACTCAGATAGCCCTCCAGTTTCTCCAAGGGGAAGTGACAATACAAAGGTAAACCAAAGAGAGAAGCAAGAGGGGGAAGGGGGTTCCTATCTATTCTTGCACATGCATGCATGCAACTAAATCTTTTGGATATTTACATCCTTCTTGGAAATTATACAAGGATAACTACACTATTATACTTCATAAAACAATTTATCATGTTCCGTTATTCGTATTTCTTAAGAGCACAAAAGGCATGTAAGTGTAGTAACTAGTAAAGTGTATGAAATGCACATGCACTAAAAGAAAGAGGAAATTGACTGTCCTATGAAAACCTGCAGTTGAAGAGTTGAATTACAATTAGGCTAGGGGATTAACAGTAGTGGTGTACCGTTTTTGCTGAATTATATTGAACACAGACTAGGTACTACAACAATGAGTCCTGCATTTGGTCGAAAGAGTAACCATGACGTCACCACCGTTTTGTGAATCTAATTAAGTACATGGACTCTAGGTTGATGGAATTAAACTTTCTTTCTTGGTCCTAAAATTACCCTTAACTCCCTCAGTTTTTCACTTTGAATAACCATAATCAGAACTAACTGTATTGATGTGTGCAGGAATTGTTTTTACTACATCAGGCACTCAATCCAGATTTCCTCTCTAGTCAACATTTGATGAAAGCTGGGGTATACATTTATTTTGGAAATATTTTACTAATGCATCTGAACCCTCATGACCAAAACTGGCATAATGCAGCTATACAGGACTGTGATGCGTGGTAAGACAATGGGTAGATGGCTGAAAGATCAAAAGGAAAAGAAAAAACAAGAGCTTAGAACTCACAGTGCCCAAGTGCACGCAGCAGTTTCCGTAGCAGGGGTTGCAGCTGCTGTGGCCGCTCTTGCAACCTCATCAGTAACTTCTCCAGAGAAGTCCAAAACCCAACACAAAGCATCTTCAAAGATGTCAACTGCAATTGCATCTGCGGCAGCTTTAGTAGCATCCCATTGTATTGAAATTGCAGAGGACATGGGTGCTGAACAGGATCAAATCTTATCGGCTGTAAATTCAGCTATTAATGCAAGAACTAGTGGAGACATCATGACCTTAACTGCTGGAGCTGCTACAGGTATCAATCCAACCGGTCAACCGTTTATAGAGATGCAAACAATTATTATCAACTGTTTCATACTATAAAGAAGCTTAAACAGGTAACACTAATCTATCTCATCGGCATTCACTGTTACAGCATTGAGAGGTGCTGCGACTCTAAGGGCGAGGCTACAGAAAGGAAATGGAGCTGCAGCTGTTGCTCTAGCTGACGAGCGTGTCGAAGGTAACAAAGAATCAACTGTTACAGCAGCTCTGAGCTTTGTTGCCAAAGGGGGAGAACTACTCAAACGTACAAGAAAAGGTACTATGAATTGAGGAACTACACTTACCTTGCAAGATATACTGCAGTTATTTTGTCAATAATTTTTCTGTTCATGCAGGAGATCTCCACTGGAAACAAGTCTCTTTCAGCATAAATTCTGACTGGCAGGTAATATATGAGAGTACTATTAAACAAATGCTGAGTTTCATATCAATATGTAATGTAAAATCTGCTCAGCGTACATTCTAAAATCCTCGAATAAGCTGTTAGACGGAAAGCAACAAAGTTTACTTGTGTAGCTCACATGGTTGTTATCTCATGCTACCCTATATCATCATAACAAAATAAGCGAATATGAATCTTTGGTAGCAGGTCATAGCTAAAATGAAAAGCAAACACATGGCAGGAACATTCACAAAGAAAAAGAAATGTAAGCCAAAACAAAAACTCACTTTAGTATCAAATTGTCTATGTGTTCCTTTACACTTTCATCAAAATTGGTGGTTGTTGAATGCACAGGTGAGGTCTCTGGAGTCTACTGTGACATAGCAGCATGGCATGGACGAGACGAGGAAGGTGATGAGCAGAAGTGCTATTTCGGGATACAAACTGCAGAAAGGATGATTGAATTCGAATGCAGAAACAAAGGGGAGAAACAAATGTGGGTGGATGGGATTCAACAAATGTTGTGCTGCCGCATGACCATGACATGACTTTGAATGAACATTTCAAAAGAGAATTGAAGTAGTAGCTTTTAGTGTGACTTTAAAACTCTAAAATAAGACATCAAACCAGAGAAGTAATGGATTTATTTCAGCTGTTACATCTATATATAGGGATAGATTACATATTGAAAAATGGCACTGCAATGATCTATCCTTGGTTAATGCTGGACTAGATGATCTGAATGATATCACTGGACAAACTGTGACTATTTCTTCAGAAGCAAAAAGCGGGATTGAGGTGTTTGAGGTGATACTGTATATGTTCACTCTAATTCCTTCATAAAATCAGCATTATCAACAAACACCTGCAAGATGAAAATAATTAAAGAACTAAGATGGAAAGCAAATAAAGAAAAACCTTTTATCCTTCATATTCTGATACCTACCACAAGTGGAAGAACTAGTGCTCTAACTGAAGCTGAACATTTTATTCCAACTTAGTTACATGGTTTGAATTAGTCTTCCCTAACTAGATTCCACATGACATCATTTCACAAGCCAGAAACCTTACATCAATCACCAACCTTATATAGTGGTGTATGCTTTTGCCATTTACTAATACATCCTGTGTCTCAATTGAACAGCCCTAGATATTATCCAATATACTTCAGTTTTACGATTGCACATCATTTCACTAGCCAGAAACCTTACTTCAATCACCAACCTTATAGTGGTGTATGCTTTTGCCATTTACTGATACATCCTGCGTCTCAATTGAACAGACCTAGATATTATCCAATATACTTCAGCTTTACGATTGCAGAAATAAATAATGTTTTGGCCACCAAATTAAATTTGGAATCCGATCCAAAAATAACATCAGTTTTTCCTAAATTCAACAGGTGCTGACATACAGCGATTCTACACCAAAAACTTAGTAGGTCAAATTAACATATCAATTTAGGAAATAGAGTGCCATCTGCTCTTCACATATTGAAAGAAATAATGTATCTACTGCAGATTTGAGACGCGCCACTTCTCTCTCTCACCCAGTGTATGCCTGTATGGTTAGAAGTGACTAGAGTTATTGCTTATTCTACGGTAGTCCTAGCCAATGGAGTGAGGGTCTGTGAAGAGAAGTTTCCAGTGATTGATCTTTTTATAACTTCTGTTTTGTCCTTTCTTCAAATAAAGCTAGAAGATATTCTAATGATTTCAAGGGATATAATTGTCTTCAAATTTAAACTATACTTTTAAACTAGTAGTCTGACAAAATAAAGCATGAGATGTCTAGAAACAAGTATAGGTGCATTGTCTAATGCTGGAAAGGAAACTACTAGTTCATGCCAAAAATAATCATAACTGTTGAAGACTTACTGTCTTCCAACCATCAGGATCGACGCATGCCATGATCTTGGTGTTGATGCCCGGCAACGGTCCAGGTTCAAGCACAATTTCCCCTCCATACAGTTTTATAGCTTCTGTAGTCTTGTAGACATCATTTGTTCCGACTGCAATCTGCAAAGATATGTAATGTCGCTTACAAGCTGATATCTACAGAATTTTCGCAAGTCCGGGAAAGAAACTATGATCAATTAGCTTCAAATGAGTTTGCTAAATTGTACTTGTCCTAAACAACATGCCGGACAGTAATAGGTTCACCCAATTTAAAATAATATATTCTAAAGAGTGGAATTACCTGAGCATAGCCATTTCCTTTATCATAGCTTTTGACACCATAGGTATATGTCAATGCCAGAACTGCATTTTTGTCTTCAGGTCCATAACCCATGACGGCTATTCTGTTCTGAGAACAAGTGTCAATAATTAATAAAAGAGAGATAAAACCATAAATAAGCATTAGGAAATATCCAAGTGAAAAAAACCGATATATCAAGTTTAGGGAGCACCTAAGTTGCTCGGGCTCTTCACTTTCGGTGCCGCACCCGTGTCGGCACGACGTGGGTGTGTGATCCATACCGGATATGGTCAACCGATTTCGGATACTTTGGCCAATATCGACGCAGAATTTCGGGACAGATATAATGATTTATGAAATCAAAACAAAAGCTATGGTGAAATTGAGCAAAATGGAATATCTTGTATATAAGAAATTTCTATGTTAGTCCTTTTTCTTTTATCTCTTACTCGGGTTCTCCTCTTGATCAATATTTTCCTTCCCGGAATACCTTGTAAGTTTATAATCTCTCATAATTTAGACGTATCTTTATAACTCTACTTTTAGATATTTGAATTAATTTTAGTCGAGTCCCAACACCCGTATCCGTACCTGGATCCGTACCATGAACCTTAAAATATAGATCATGAAGGATCCAACCTCTAGTACGCACCCGAATGGGACACCCTCACCCAAGTCCGAGCAACTTAGGGGAGCACTACTTCAATAAAATCTAAAGGAGAATATAAAAGAAAAAACATCCTAGTGTAGGGATCCAATCTAGCATGACAGAAACCATTTACTATCTTGAACTTGAAGTATGTTTGTAAAACCTATGGAGAGAAAACCAAGAGCAAAAGGAAACCCAAAAGAGTGCAGCAGCCGAAAAACAAACAAATAAAATTGCCTCTCTCTAATAGCTTATACGTTACATGAGGTGGTTCACACAATTTAACATATGAAAGAATTAGAGTATTCAATCAAAAACCATAAAACAACGATTAGAGTGACCTTAAGACCTTTACAAACCCCTTTGGGAGCCCTTACACTGTGAGACAATATATAACTCAGTGCACTTTCCGACAACAAGAGGATTGCATAAGCCTACGAACAGGAAAAAGTACAACTATAACCACAAATGGACAATATTTGCAAAATAACCTATAAACTCACTTTGTTATCAGGATTATCTCTTTTACGAAGAAGCTCCATGCCAAATGCCTTGAAAAATTAATCACAATGAGGATTTAGTATTTATTGCAATCTAACAGGACAAGTATGTAATAAGAGCAGTATAAGTTTGAAGACCTAGAACTTTCATCTAGCAAATGTTGCAGTTTACCTTCTTATAGAAATTAATGGACTGGTCAAGATCTCCTACACGAAGCATTACTTCACGGAAAGGTTCAGGAGTAGGCCCTCTCTGTAAAAGCTCAAAGTTGTAGCCATCAGGATCTTCCACGAGGGCAATTATAGTTCCTCCAACTTTTGATTGGACCAGGTTCCAGGTCCCTCCTTTAGCTTTTACTAGGTCTACCGTTTTAGCAACCTATATGGAAAATTCGAAAATTATGTCCCGGTAAATATATGTGAACTTCTATAAACAATTATAGGAAAAACAAAAGACAAAGAATTACTATTAGAAGAGCTTTTCTAAAGGTGTCTAACTGAAATGCTGGTACTTTTCATGGCAAGATGTATGAAAGTCACCAGCAAGTAATGAGCAGTAGAGTAACTTTTAAAACCAAGACCAATCCAACAAGGACAAAGGTAAAAGATAATCAATTCAAATGCAACTGCACTAAAGACCTCTAAAGCTCATGATTGTTGTTTACTTGATTGCATGACATCAAAGAAGTATAAATTGAACTGTTTGAATTTTTCATCTTATGAACAACTTACATCCTCAACTGCAATTCCAAAATGACCAAAACCAGTTCCAATGTCATACTTGTCAACTCCATAGTCTGAAAGCAACAGGGAAGTACAATGACTGCAACATTGTAAAATATAATAGACGACTGTTGAACAAAGCATAGTGGCAACTGCAAACTATGAGGAGCCTCACTGTAAGTAAGTTCAACGGCGAAATTTGTTTCTTCAGGTCCATAACCAAGAAAAGCATTTGAATAACCCTCCTCTGGTATGTCTCGTTTCCTTAACAGCTTCATTCCCAAGCATTCTGTGTAGAATCTGTATCACAAGACATCTTTGTTACCTAGTTGGGATTTGGGAAGATCAAACATAATAGTACTGAATTCTTCTCTGAAAAAGTAAACATACTTGATCGTCTTGTCCAAATTCCCAACACGATAAACAGCATGGAGCATTCTTCTTTTGTCCTTCTTGATCCACTCTGATGCATTTTCATCACTTAGGGCAGTATTTGACTGCGCCAGTTCAGCGATAGTTCCAGTTTCAATCACCTTCCCTTCAGCGTCAATGGATTCAGGTGCTTTTCCATTGAATAGCTGTGATTGAGTGATAGCTGATAACCAATGAACTTTTGTAAGCCATTTACTAATCCACCATTCTTCAGTCTTTTATTTCTATCTATACGAAGTTATGGTTATCTAAAATATCAACTGCTCTATAGACCGTTGGTCAGAGTTTCTTATGCAGAGAGTGTGACCAAGAATTTTGTGTTCATTGCAGGGACAACCTATAGCTCCTACCTTTATTAGGGAATGGTGCTGTCAAAAGGTACAGATAGCGAACTACATTGCACAATAGGCTTTATGTGATCTGCTCTACTAGTTCTATCCATATTCATCCGCCACCCCTCGCTCGAAATTCTATATAATGTAATTATTAGATGATCAGTTACAGCTAATTAACTTAATTAATCAATTCAATGAATAGAAATATTTTCTGATATTTGAAGAATTGAAAGATCGTCATGAAATAACTTTTAATCCAAGTGAAATTCACAAAGTGTAATCTTAGGCTGATGAGCCCTACATTTTGTAATGGATTGACTACCAATTCAGATACCTAGCTCTCAGCAGAAGACTCTTTCTTGTTCTTCATTCTTTTTTCATTTGGGATTAGAAAATATTCTATGGACTTGGTGAGTTTGCAACACCATTAAGGGCCTGTTTTGAACGCCACCTTGTAGTTGGATGTAATTACACAGTTTGGCAGGCATGTTTGTCTGGCCAATTAATTACTTACCAGCTTGAAATTGGGTGTAATTAAAGGGGAGCAACACCCTCCAATTCTTGGGGGGGGGGGGGGGGGGGGGGACATCTGAAATTCTTTCCTCTTTAATTTTGAATATTTCTTATATACACATGTATTTGTCACACATTTAAAACAAAAGAATAATGTAATCGCATTTGTAAACCAAAATGACATTGGAAATTATATTATCACGAACAAACAGGTCATTGTAATTACTATACGGTGTAATTACTCGATATCACTTTAAAATGCATTAAGCTTAGAACCATATAAGCACCTTCCTCGTGATGTCTTTCACACCAAGCCAAACAGTCTAGATGTGTTTAAACTATTATAACATTACACTTCTTACTTCTGCGTTCAATTCTTTTCTTCTCCAAATTAAACTCATACATGGAGTTATGTCCATAACTTTGAATATTGAATAAGTCGCCCTCAGGCAAAAATTCACGTAATTACTAGGCTAGTAATTACACAACACAGTAGTAATTACACATTGGTTTCCAAACAGGCCTTAAAAGGTTTTTCAGATAATTCATTATTTGCGTACACACTACCCTCCCCCAAACCCTACTTGTGGGATTATAGTGGGTTGTTGTTGTTGTACCCAGCAGTGAAATTTCCCCCCAAATCAATCTCTACAACCTTTTCATGTTTTGCTTAGTTAAGTATGAATAGCATTTGGATAAGATAAGAATAAAAGGCCATTCTTTTTTCAGTTAGTTATCTAATAGTGTAACAAAATCATGGAGGCATAGTGTACACTACTCACAAGATATGAATAAGAAGAATGAAATGCAAGAACCTGTACTGAGTTGAAATAAAGCAATCCTACGAGATGGACTGTAAGCGCAAGGCAAAAAGACACTGCGCCCATTACTTGAAGAAGTACAAGAAGGAATAATGGACTTCAATGGCTGTTGAATTTTAGGAGAAAATATTTGTAGAGCCATTTGTTTGGAATAAACACTAACACCTATGTCCTCTGTATCTATCTACCTTTATCCTGACTTACATATTTGCTGATTTATATCCAAAATTTTAAAATCTGTTATTTTGAAAAGTATATTTTATAAAAGTTATTTTCAAAAAAGTAATTTTGTTAGGAAGAAATTGTGTTTGACTGCTTAATTTGAAAAATATTTTTGAGTAACTATTAGTATTTGGTAAACCTATTTTTAAATTTATTTTTCTTAAAAGTACTTTTGGTGATAAGTTATTTTTCTGTTCTCAAAAAGTTACTTCTGTTTCTACTCAAAATCACTTTTTTCTTCTTCTAAAAGCTTAGTCATATATCTTAACTTTGGGAAAAAAATACTTTTGGATTAAAAAAAAGGAAAATTACCAGTTCCAATAAGTTAGTACAAAAATTAGCCAATTCATATAAAATATTAGCCAATTAGCTATTAGTAGCCAAAAAAATATCAACCTTTTGCTTTCTTTTGAGTGGGCATTGTTGGAATAGATTGGATACATCTTAATGAGTTTAAATCTCAGCTTGGGATGATTTGGTAGAGTTTTGAGGCGGTTTAAATTGAAAACCCGAAGTAGAAGATGAACATGAAAAAGATGATATGTGCTTACATTGTGTATCATTTGTGTATCACATATATATCATATTTGTATCAAATGTGTATCACATGTAGATCCATGTATACCTGCGTGTGAGTTTTATGCGTGATACTTGTTTGATACATGTGTGGCGAAAGAATTTTTTAAACTCGATTTTAACTACGAATTTTGATACCAATTCAGTCCAAATCACCTTCAATCTTTCTCAAATTTTTTGTATCGACTCATCTATATGTTTTCAATGAATTTCAACCATACCCATTGGAAAAAGTCCCTACTTATATATATATATATATATATATATATATATATATATATGGAATTTCATTACCTTATTTGTTGCCACATCCATGTAATTTCCTCTCCGTCTTACATCTTGCTGCATATCACGCTTAAAAATATGGAAGGAGATCTTTGCGTGTGATTCTTGGATAAAAAGAATCCTTACATATTTGGGTTTTCAATTTTTGTATGTGCTTGACTAGTTTTGGTAAGTGTATGATTAATGCCTAGAGATTGGTAAGTTAAGACTTATTTCGGGGGTAAATTTTAAAAATAGCCAGATTTACAACTGGTCGTTCAAAAATAGCCCAATTTCAAAAGTAATCGAAATTTAGCCACTTTTTATATAAAGATAAATCTGAGCGAAAACACTGTTCAAAACCCGGAAAATACTCTAGTATATTATGCTAGAGTTCCAGCATAAGTATACTTGAACTCCAGCATATTATACTGGAGTTCCAGAATAAGTATGCTGGAACTCCAACATAATATGATGGAGTTCCAGCATAAGTACACTAGAACTCCAGCATAATATACTGGAGTTCCAGCAAGTATATTGGTCCAGTATAATATACTGGAGTTTGGAGCACCGGTGCTCCAGTCTCCAGTATATTATACTGGAGCCAGCAAAGTATACCGGTCCAGCATAATATGCTGGAGTTCATACACAAGTGCACCGAACTCCAGTATATTATGCTGGACCGGTCTCTATTGCAGCAAAATAGTGGCTATTTTTCATTAACTTGGTAAACGCTGGCTATTTTTGATTGACCAGTCCGAAAACTGGCTATACCGTGCTATTTTTACGATATTTTCATAAGATTCCCCAAAAAAAATACTTTTTGGCCCAAAAGAAGCTTGACAAACTATTATACATATGGATGTGGATAAAACAATTTTTAATTCTAATAATATTTGCTAAACTATGGCGTAGCACTATAGTAGCATATTATTACTACTAGGTGAGTCCTTTCGGGTTCTCTTTTTACATTTTTTTCATTTTATTAGTAAAATGTAGTATTTTCTCTCTAATTATAAGTATAGACACGGTTTTTTCTGGATTAATCTTCATATTAAATTTAGATAGATTTTTAAATTCAAAAATATCAAAACTAAATCAAAATTAGTTATGTAGTCCAAAATAGGAATTAAAATTCAAAGTCAAAATTCATTTGTACAAGTTACATTCAGGCTCAAATAATGCGCCTATTTCACTAACCCAAGATCCAAATGACTATTGTTTCATCTTAAAGTCTATGTTAATGTCACATGTCAAATTACGTGCCGCGATATGTCAAATAAAGTAGTATTAGGAAAGAGAAAAGAATATTATATGAAGTGTAAATAACTTTGTTAATTTTATATTGAGTAAATACTTAAAAGTTGGAATATATTGTGTCATTTTTATTTTCCAATAGCCATAAAATTTTATTGTCGGCTATGGGGGCCTGGAGGAGCAATGGTGACGCGAGCACTATGTGGTCGACGACAGCAGACTATATAAGGGAGGTTGTGAGAGAGGTGTTAGGGGTCTCGACAGGCGTCTCTGGCGGGGACAAAGGAGACTGGTGGTTGAATGAAGTGGTCCAAGGTAAAGTGGAAGCGAAGAAGGCGGCATACCTGAAGTTAGTAGGGAGCACAGGTGAGGAGGAGAGGCGAGCGTGCATGCAGAGGTATAAGGTAGCAAGGAAGGAAGCTAAGCTGGCGGTTACGGAGGCTAAGACTGCGGCTTTTGGTCATATGTACGAGGAACTGGGGAAAAAAAGCGGGGAGAAGAAGTTATTCTGGCTAGCCAAGACGAGAGAAAGGAAGACTCGGGATATGGACCAAGTGAGATGCATCAAGGACGACGATGGTAGAGTATTCATGGAAGATGCCCAGATTAAGAGGAGATGGCAGACTTACTTTCATAAACTTCTGAATGAAGAAGGGGATTGGGATATGGTGCTAGGTGAACTGGAGCATTACAGAGTCACCGTGACTTTAGGTACTGCAGCCCATCAAGGTAGAGGATGTCGTGGGAACTATACGTAAGATGAGTAGGGACAGAGCGATAGGGCCAGCTGAAATTCCGGTTGAATTTTAGAAATGTGTGGATAGAGCAGGCTTGGAGTGGCTGACTGTGTGTTATTTTAGGGCGAAGAGGATGCCGGATGAGTGGATGTGGAGTACGCTGGTTCCGTTGTATAAGAACAAAGGGGATATCCAGAGTTGTAACAATTATAGGGGTATCAAATTACTGAGTCATACCATGAAAGTTTGGGAGAGGGTGGTTGAAGCGAGGGTGAGGATGACGGTGTCTGTATCCGACAACCAGTTCAGGTTCATGCCGGGTTGTTCTACTATGGAAGTTATACACCTTGTTAGGAGGTTGGTGGAATGGTACAGGGAGAGGAAGAAGGATCTGCACATGGTGTTTATTGACCTAGAGAAAGCGTATGACAAGGTTCCTAGAGAAGTTCTCTAGAGATGCTTGGAGGCAAAAGGTGTACCAGTTGCCTACATTAGGGAGATTAAGGACATGTATGATGGGGCTAAGACTCGGTTAGGACAGTAGGAAGCGACTCTGAGCATTTTCCAGTTGTTATGGGGTTACACCAAGGTTCTGCGCTCAGCCCGTTCTTATTTGCCCTGGTGATGGACGCGTTAACACACCATATTCAAGTAGAGGTGCCATGGTGTATGCTATTCGATTATGACATAGTTCTAATTGATGAGTCGCGAGCCGGTGTTAACGAAAGGCTGGAGGTTTGGAGACAGGCACTTGAATCTAAGGGTTTCAAGCTGAGTAGGACGAAGACGGAATACCTGGAGTGTAAGTTCAGCGCTGACCCGAATGAAGTGGGCGTGGATGTGAGGCTTGAATCATAGGTCATCCCTAGTAGAGGTAGTTTCAAGTACCTTGGATCGGTTATCCGGAGGGGGGGGGGGGGGAGATCGACGAGGATGTCACATACCGTATTGGGGTGGGATGGATGAAGTGGAGGTTAGCATCTAGAGTCCTGTGTGTCAAGAGAATGCCACTGATACTCAAAGGTAAGTTCTATAAAGCGGTGGTTAGACCAGCCATGATGTATGGGGCTGCGTGTTGGCCTGTTAAGAACTCACATATCCAGAAGATGAAAGTAGCAGAGATGAGGATGTTGAGGTGGATGTGCGGGCACACTAGGATGGATAAGATTAGGAATGATGATATTCGGGAGAAGGCGGGTGTGGCTCCCATTGATGACAAGATGCGGGAAACGAGGCTCACATGGTTCGGGCATGTACATAGGAGAAGCCCAGATGCTTCGGTAAGGAGGTGTGAGCGGCTGGTTGTGCAGGGCACGAGAAAAGGTAGAGGGCGGCCTAAGAAGTATTGGGGATATGTGATCAGACAGGACATGGCGAGGCTTCGGATTTCCGAGGACATGACCCTTGATAGGAAGTTGTGGAGGTTGAGTATTAGGGTAGTAGTATAGGAGGTAGTTGAGTCTTGCCTCACTGCGTACCTTTGTGAGACTAGTGTGGTAGGGTTTTGTCTAAGATAGCTAGTGGCAATGTTGTGTCTTACTACACTTTCATTTCTCATAGTGTCGGGTCTATTTACTGGCTATTGCTTTTGCTTTGCATCTATCTTCTGGTTTTCATGTTGTTGTTATTTTTCCTATAATTTTTGTGGTGGTACTTATATTGTCTCTTTTTGTTTTTTTGAGCTGAGGGTCTTTCGAAAATAACCTCTCTACTCCTTCGCGTTAGGGGTAAGGTCCGCGTACATACTACCCTCCCCAAACCCCACTAGTGAAATTTTATTAGGTCGTTGTTGTTGTTGCCATAAAATTCCATTAATTTATGTGGAAAAGAAGGGGGGAACGAATTCTGATGAATCTAAGTTTAAAGTGGATGATTTGACAAATATCCACTTTTAGGATTGCTACTTGGTAACCCAGCATTTGCAATGAAAAATAATCACAACTTAACAAGGCGACAAACATTCGCTTCTTTGGTTAAACTTCAGTATACCTCTCATTATTTAATACTTAGAATTGAAGACCTTATCCATTAAAGATATTTCTCAACAACACAAGCTTTTTGCATTTTTTTAGTTTGAATTCTCTGGTAGATAAGATATATGATAAGTATTAGAGCATTGGATAGAGT